TCAAAGCAATCTACAGATTCAACACAATCCCTATCAAAATTCCAGAAACATTTTTTTACAGAAATAGGCAAAAAAAAAAGAAAAAGAAAAAATAAAAGGCAATTCTACAGTTCATAAGGAACCACAGATGACCATGAATAGCCAATTCTAAGAAGAAAACTTAAAGCAGAACACTTTAAGATTTCAAACTATATTACAGAGTTTTAATAATTAAAACAGTATGGTACTTGCATAAAAAGACATATAAACCGGGGTGCCTGGGTGGCTCAGTCGGTTAAGTGGCCGACTTCGGTTCAGGTCATGATCTCACGGTCCGTGAGTTTGAGCCCCGCGTCGGGCTCTGTGCTGACAGCTCAGAGCCTGGAGCCTGTTTCAGATTCTGTGTCTCCCTCTCTCTGACCCTCCCCCATTCATGCTCTGTCTCTCTCTGTCTCAAAAATAAATAAACATTAAAAAAAATCATTTAAAATAAAAAAAGACCTATAAACCAATGGAACATAAGAGAGCCCAGAAATAAACCCATATATACATGATCAAGGTATTTCAGCAAGGGTTTAAGAAAACACAATAGGGAAAAGATAGTCTTTTCAACTACTTGGTGTTGGGAAAACTGGACCATTTTACATGTAAAAGAGTGAAGTTGGACCTGTAACTTACTCTATACACACAAAAATCAACTCAAACTGGTTAAAGACTTAAATGAAAGACCTGAAACTGTAAAGATTTTCAGAAGCAACCATAGGGAATAAACTTCGTGATATTGGTTTTGATAATGATTTTATAGATAGGACCCCCAAAGCACAGGCAACAAATAGACAAGTGGAACTCAAATTGAAAAGCTTCTGCACAGCAAAGGAAATGATGGAATGAAGAAGAAACCTATAGAATGAGAGAATATTTGCAAACCATATATTTGATCATACAACTCCATGAGAAAAAACTAATAACCTGATTTTAAAATGGGTTGAAGGGGCGCCTGGGTGGCGCAGTCGGTTAAGCGTCCGACTTCAGCCAGGTCACGATCTCGCGGTCCGTGAGTTCGAGCCCCGCGTCGGGCTCTGGGCTGATGGCTCAGAGCCTGGAGCCTGTTTCCGATTCTGTGTCTCCCTCTCTCTCTGCCCCTCCCCCGTTCATGCTCTGTCTCTCTCTGTCCCAAAAATAAATAAACGTTGGGAAAAAAAATTAAAAAATAAAAATAAATAAAATGGGTTGAAGACTTGAGGAGCTTGAACAGACATTTCTCCAAAGATGACATACACATGGCCAACAGGTATATGAAAAAATGTTCATCACTAATCAAAAAAATGCTAACCAAAACCACAATCAGGGGCACCTGAGTGGCTCAGTTGGTTAAGCATGCCACACTTCATTTTGGCTCAGGTGATTATCTCATGGTTTATGGGATTGAGCCCACTTTGGGCTCTGTGCTGAAAGTGGGTGAAGCCTGCCTGGGATTCTCTCTCCTCTCTCCCTGCCCCTTATCCATGCACGTGCACGCTCACTCTCAAAATAAACATTAAAAAACCAAACAAGGGGCGCCTGGGTGGCGCAGTCGGTTAAGCGTCCGACTTCAGCCAGGTCACGATCTCGCGGTCCATGAGTTCGAGCCCCGCGTCAGGCTCTGGGCTGATGGCTCAGAGCCTGGAGCCTGTTTCCGATTCTGTGTCTCCCTCTCTCTCTGCCCCTCCCCCGTTCATGCTCTGTCTCTCTCTGTCCCAAAAATAAATAAACGTTGAAAAACCAAACAAAAAAAATCCCCACAATCATCATGGAAATACAAATCAAAACCACAATGAGATATCACCTCACACCTGTCAGAAAGGCTAAAATCAACAACACAAGAAACAACAGGTGTTGGCAAGGATGTGGAGAAAGGGGAACCCTCTTCCACTATTGGTGGGAATGCAAACTGGTTCAGCTACTGTGGAAAACAGTATGGAGGTTCCTCAAAAAGTTAAAAATAGAACCATCCTATGACCCAGTATTTCCACTACTAGGTATTTACCCTCAAAATACAAAAATACTAATTCAAAGGGGGATACAAAGGGATTCATTCAAAGGGATACAAAGGGATTCATTCAAAGGGATACATTCACCCTGATGTCTATAGCAGCATTATCTAGAACAGCCACATTATGGAAGTAGGAACAGCCCAAGTGTCCACTGACTGATAAATGGATAAAGATGTGGTATATATGTGATGGAATATTACTCAGCCATAAAAAAGAATGAAATCTTGCTGTTTGCAATGACATGGATGAAGCTAGAGAGTATTATGCTAAGTGAAATTAGTCAGAGAAAGACAAATCCCATATGACTTCGCTCATATGGAATTTAACAAACAAAACAAACAAAGGGGGAAAAGAGAGGGAGGCAAACCAAGAAACAGACTCTTAACTATAGAGAACAAACAGATGGTTGCCAGAAGGGAGGTGGGTGGGGAGATGGGTGGAACAGGTGATGGGGATTAAGGAGTGCACTTGTTGTGATGACCCCCAGGTGTTGTATGGAAGCGCTGAATCACCATATTGTACGCCTGAAACTAATATTATACCGCATGTTAACTAGAATTTGCAAACTTAAAAACACAGTGAGATATCATGTCACACCTGTCAGAATGACTATTATCAAAACAAAACAAAAACAAAAAAACCCAGAGGTGTCAGCAAGGATGTAGAGAAATGAGAACCTTTGCACACTGTTGGTGGGAATGCAAAATGGCACAGATGGAAAACAGAAAGTTCCTCAAAAAATTAAAAATAGAACTACTATGTGACCCAGCAATCCCTCTTCTAGGTTTACATCCCAAAGAAGTGAAATCGGAATCTTGAATGGATATTAGCACTCCCATTTATTGCAGCACTATTCTCAATAGCTAAGATGTGGAAACAACCCAAATGTCCCCTGACAGACGAATAGATAATGTGGCATATGTATACAAAATAATATTTAGCCTTAAAACAGAAGGAAATGCTATAATATGTGACAACATGGACGGACCTTGAGGACATTATGCTGTGAAATAAGCTTGATCCAGAAAGACAAACACTACATGATTCCACTTATATGAAGTATCAAAACTAGTCAAATTTATAAAATCAAAGATTGGAATGGTGGTTACTAAGGGATAAGGAGGGAGGCAGATATGGGGGTGGGGTTATTAACCAACAGGCATGATATTTTTGTTAAATATGATGAATAGATGAATAAGCTCTACCACCTTTTTTTTTTAATTTTTTTTTTCAACGTTTATTTATTTTTGGGACAGAGAGAGACAGAGCATGAACGGGGGAGGGGCAGAGAGAGGGAGACACAGAATCGGAAACAGGCTCCAGGCTCCGAGCCATCAGCCCAGAGCCTGACGCGGGGCTCGAACTCACGGACCGCGAGATCGTGACCTGGCTGAAGTCGGACGCTTAACCGACTGTGCCACCCAGGCGCCCCGCTCTACCACCTTTTAACACCTACACAAAAAGAGACTCTAAACAGATTAAAGACCTGACATCATAAAAGTCTTAGAACACAGGCAAGAATTGCTCTGACATCAGCCGTAAAGACATTTTTCTTCTACGTAAGTCTCCTAAGGCAAAGGAAACAAGCAAAAAGCAAACTATTGGCACTACAAAGCTTTTGCACAGAGAACGAAACCATCAACAAAACAAAAGACAACCTACAGAATAGAAGATATTTGCAAATGATATATCTGATAAGGGGTTAATATCTAAAATATATAAGGAACTATACAACACCACCAAAATAAAAAACAAAAACAAAAACCATCCAATGAAAAAATGGGCAGAGGAAGTGAGCATTTTTCCAAATAAGACCTACAGATGGCCAACAGACACTTCATGATGTTCAACATCACTCATCATCAGGGAAATGCAAATCAAAACCACAAGGAGATATCACCTCACATCTATTAGAATGGGGAAAAGAAAAGAAATAACCAGTGTTGGCAAGGATGTGGGGGGCGGGGGGGGAAGGTACCCTTTTGCATTGTTGGTGAGAATATAAGTTGGTATAACCACTGTGGAAAGCAATATGGAGGTTCCTCAAAAAATTGAATACAATATCATATGATCCAATTCCACTACTGGATATTAACCCAAAGGAAAAAAAAACACTAATTCAAAAATTTATATGCACCCTTATGTTTGTTTACTGCAGCATTATTCATGATAGCCAACCCAAATGTCCATCAATGTATGAATGGATAAGATGTGGTACACATACATGCATACACATACACACAGGGGTCGGGGGGGCGGGGTGGGTAGATAATATGTAGCCATTTAAAAGGTGAGGTGAGATTATGCCATTTGAGGCACCATGGAAGGACCTAGAGGGTATTATGCTAAGTGAAATAAGTCAGACTGAGAAAGACAAATACCATGTGATTTCACCCATAAGTGGAATCTAAACAAAATCAACAAAAAGTTAGAATCAGACCTATAAATGCAGAGAACAAACTGATGGCTGCCAGCGGCAAAGGGATAGAGATTTGGGCAAAATGGGTAAAGAGAGTGGGAGTTTCAGGCTTCCATGTACGGAATGAATAAATCATGGGAACAAAAGGCACAGCATAGGGAATATAGTCCGTGATACTGTAATAGCGATATGTGGGGACAGATGGTAGCTACACTTGCTGTGAGCATAGCCTGATGCATAAACTTGTGGAATCACTGTGGTGTACACCTGACACTAACGTAACATTGTGGGTCAACCAGACTCAAGTAAAAAGCTCTAGAGGGCTGTACAACATTTTAAGTATGGTCAACAATAATATATACTTAAATTCGTTAAGAGGACAGATCTCACATAAAGTGTTCTCATGACAATCAAAACTTTAAAAAAAAAATTGTACTAGCCTGGGTGGCTCAGTCGGTTAAGCGGCCGACTTCAGCTCAGGTCATGATCTCGCGGTCTGTGAGTTCGAGCCCCGCGTCAGGCTCTGTGCTGACAGCTGGGAGCCTGGAGCCTGTTTCGGATGCTGTGTCTCCCTCTTTCTCTGACCCTCCCCTGTTCATGCTCTGTCTCTCCCTGTCTCAAAAATAAATAAAACGTTAAAAAAAATTAAAAATTGGACTAAACCAATGGCTTTCAAAGTGTAGATAGTGTAGAACACTTTCAAAAAATCAGATGACTTCTCATTCAGATTCCTAATACGTAAGTGGGTAAAAGCAATATTTTAGTGGCATAAGTTTAAAAAGCTTAAATGGGTAAAATTACTCAAATGAGAAAAAATGATAAAATCTAGGATTATGGAAAACAGTTATAGTCCTATCAGCCTTATCAATCTTTCTGCTTCATTGGGGAAAAAAAAAAAAAACCTGATTCATAGCTCAACTTCCATCTTAATACTCTTTAATCCAAACCAGAAGCTTGAAAGAGAATAGAAAATGTTCTCCAAGTTAAATCACTAACAATATCTAACAATGAGAGCCATTCTTATAAATGTGTCAGACAAAAATTGCCTAATAAATACAAAACCACTCGTAGCATTATGTCTTGCATAATATATAAGTGTAGGCAGGCACCAAGCGATAGACCTGAGCTACATTCTTGTTGCAAACCTGAATTTAAAAGGAAACAGCAACAATTGTACTCATGGAGAATGAAAGTTGTTGGTATCCTGTGTACATTATACTCACAGCATCAGCTTGATTTCCCAGGAGCTTGCATTTCACCAATGGCCTAACATGCCACATCCTACAAGGCAATTTGCAATCCATTAGTTTAGAGCTTCTGATAACCCAAACAGAATCAGATTCTGTCCATCAAACCCTTTCTTTTCCTCCGAAAGGGACGCATGAAGACAGTGAAGGAAAGCTTTCAACTTCAAAGAGACTGAACATGGTAGAAATATCATTTATGCTAAGTATGTTAATTGAAAACAAATTAAATATTTAACTATGTATATACTACTATATATCTACATGCACTGGTGATATATATATAAATATAAATATATATATATAATTCATTCTTTATAATAAAATTTTTTTTTAATTTTTTTTTCAATGTTTATTTATTTTTGGGACAGAGAGAGACAGAGCATGAACGGGGGAGGGGCAGAGAGAGAGGGAGACACAGAATCGGAAACAGGCTCCAGGCTCTGAGCCATCAGCCCAGAGCCTGATGCGGGGCTCGAACTCACGGACCGCGAGATCGTGACCTGGCTGAAGTC